CCGCGTCTTGGATTTGGTCTGATGGCTACATTTATTGTGTACTACTTTCCGACACCGCCCATTTCGACTGGATTTTTCGTGTTTTTGATCATCCATACTGTGTTGTCGTCGTTTTCTTCGTTCGTATTCGCACAATCTTTCCAACAAATATGCCTTCTGAATTCATCTCAGAACCGTCCAGTTTGTGGGTATCTCGGCTTTCCACACCCGTATCTCTGATCCTCTTATTGGAGGGACATATATGACGGTGAGTAGCTGCCAGTGTCACTGCCATTCGCATTGCTCATTTGTACCACTTAGCTACTCAATACTTTCACTAATCTGGGGGGAACGTGGCCAAAGTGGTTCATCCTGAAAGGTAATTTCCAATGCTATGTTTTCAGTGTAATCCTCAAGCCTGTTGCTTTAGGCGTCGATTCTTTCAGCGTCGCAACTTGCAAAGTGGCCGAGGCAGGGACAGAGCTCGCTGTCAAAGGTGCGCTGCATCCTGTTTACTCACCTTTGTTGCCACTTGCTGACTGATTACAGCTACGGAATGTGTATCTGAACACGGTCAAGCTACCTGTCGCGAGATTGGGGGAACATGTGTCACCGAAACTGACGGATATTATATTATATCTGCCGCTTGTTTTATATTTGGCATAGTGTTTCTGGTTGCCTACATCATACCTACAGCAAAGAAGCTACAAGGTAAGCTCTTCTGTGGTAGTTGTCGAAAGATCTGGCGCTCATTTCATTACAGAACTGCCACCTTTGGCTTGGAGGGTCAAGTTGTCATAGGGCGTGCACCTTGTAAATAATGTACATAGTCCTTATTATTCTAACATATAGGTACAGTACTAAGTGGAGGATCAATGGAAAAGACGATGCAATAAGGAAATAAGTGGATGATGTAATTTTTTCTCACAAATGAATTCTCATAGACGCTGCACGCGTAAAAACACTCTGGACGAAATAATTTTCAGAGCTTACAATCCGAGCTGCCGAATTCTTCTTATCTGCACAGTAAAACCAACCTATCGTCGCTTTTATACTGCAAAATGTCTACCACTACCATGCACTTTGGACCGGAATGGATGCGCACAAAGCCCCAGCCAACATCTAGAATCCAACCTCCTCCATCTCCTCCGCCTACAAACGTCTCGGTGCCTCCCACGTCTACATATTCCTCTCTTCTTACTTCAGCTGCAGCGGTGCCTGTGGAAAGCAAAGACAAGGTTCATCCATTCCGATATACGAAAGAAGAAATGCTACGAATTTATCGAGAAGGTGGCGGCAAAGGTGGACTTGGCTTGGAAGTAGAAAGATGGGAAGGCGTAGTGAGAGAGACTGTAACAGATCCCATCGGCCTCAAAGAAATGGGCGAAGCAGAGAAGAAGGTGACTGGCAAAGAAATTTTTCCTTGCGCCATCCACGCTTATAACCATCTGTAGCTTTTCGCCACACCACTCAATTCAGATCTCCGACGTCGACAATCAACCGATTATTTACATCTTAATACGCAAAATCTAGAGCGGCCTCGTTTGAATCACGCCACTACAGCTTCCGCTACTGGCAGTCCTCTTAGGGAGCGCTTTGGCTCCCATATGACGCGCAGAAGAGACAGTACAGGTCAGTCTCCGACCTTTTTCCTGCGATTCAATCATTGAATATTTCCAAGATCAATTACCAACCATTCCAAGAAAACTTTCACTGTCCAGTCAAACTTCGAACAACAGTCCTCGCGAATCCGGCATGCCTTCGCCTCGCGGTCGCCTCGGTCACACGCCTGGCTTCGATGGTATATTGAACGGAGGCGAATCTTGGGTGGCTCGTCGGCGCGCCTCGGAAGGTTTCGTTCCCAAGGCCCCGGCTAATTTCGCTCGAGATCCAGGCGAGGACTCCAAAGAGATTGAAATTCGGGAAGAGGATGAAGAAAACAATCCAGACTTTCAGCTCCAAACGGATTCTCAGCTTGGACTAAAAGACACAGATCAATTGGCTAGTAGTATTGCAATGCAGAAACCTGACAAAATCGAGTCTGCCGTTGCCCTCGTTCCTGGGACTCAAAGCATCACAAATTCTCCTGCAAGTGCCTCTCCTTCCGTAGCCCTGCCTCCCGGTATCGTTGACTTGTCTAACGTGGAATGGTCATATCTTGATCCACAAGGTCAAGTCCAAGGTATATCACACTCTGCTTCCGCTTTATATATCATTCTAATAACTTCTTACCAGGTCCATTCCAAGCGAGTGTGATGCAGAAATGGAGTGATGGTGGTTTCTTTTCCGACGAGTTACTCATGAAACGAACTTACATCGATAATGATTGGACACCCATGGGCGAATTGAAACGACGTGTTGGCAGCACTGATAAAGTATTCCTCACTCCCATCCCACTTTATGGTCCTCCTGGCTTGATACGCCGAACTGACTCTCCGTTCTCCATTGCAAATGAAGGAGGATATCATAATGGGCCATCCCAGCCTTCTCCCGTACGCACACTTCGCAATTTGACACTTGATTCCTTCAACTCTGGCTATTCCGACTCTTCTTCTTCCTTCGGTAACGCGGCGAGATTTACCAATGGCTCTCCTGATCCTGCAGCATTCGGAGTTCGTGCTGCCCCCCAGTATGGTCTGGGAGGTGAGATGGGAACTCGTTCAAATGGATATCCTTTGAATGCGGGCGATGCGTCTCATGCTCTATCTGGTAGATCAGGGTTTGCATCTACATCAAACGACTATCGGTCTCCAGGATTTGGCAATGTTGCCCCAGGGAGTGTCAACCCTGTTGATTTGAATACTAATTACGGCTCGCCTGCCGCTTCCTGGACAGGCTTTGATGGTACGTCTAACGAGAGAGGAGGCTCTGTTGACTCATATCAACCTGGATATTCGAATGCGGGGATCCCATCCTTTGGTAACCATAGCGGATTCCAGACATCATCGTTCAATACGCCGAGCCACCCGTCTCCAGGAATGGGAGGATTACCTTTCGAACAATATTCTGCATCTCCATCCTCACAGTTCGTCAATAACACGTCCGTCATGCAAACAACTGTACCGGATTTATTCAATCAAAATCAGCAGCAACAGACTCCTGCACGACCTAGTCAGCCCATCAATCCTAATACTACTGCATCTCCCTGGGGTTCCGTTGATTCACATATCAATAAGCGTAATGTCCCGTTCGATGCTCCTCCTTCCAAGCCGTCTTCTGTGAACAATCAATCCCCTTGGGGTACAGGTACAGGAGGGGCATCTATATCTCAGTCAGAATCGCAGGTAAACGACATTTCTCCCTGGCTTGCAGCTTCAAAAGGAGTTAACGACAACTGGAAAGAAGAGCAATCAATTATATCTGACCTTACTTCCAACAACCTCGGCCAACACGATCGGCAGGAAAAGCAGCTAGCAGAGAATGCTCAAGAAGCAGTGGATATAATTTCCGAATACAAATTCACCATTGCAGAGACCCCTGCTGCAATTGCCAGTTCAGAGGTAGCTCCTGCTGCTCTACTGCCTGCAAAATCTCATTCTAAATTAACATCACGACAAGTTCAACTAAACACTCCAGCTAAGGCTGCTGTCTCGCCTGAACCTGCACTCGTACTTCCGGAGATTCCTTTATCTCAACCCCCTTCAGCCTCTGCGGCGCCCAATGCTTGGGCGAAGGAGGAAGAATCCAAGAAGACAGCAACAAGTCTTCGTAAAATCCAGGATGCAGAAGCCAAGAAGCTTGAAGCCCGAAAGGTCGCAGATAGGGAGAGGGAGCGCGTTGCTCGTGCAGCCGTTCCATCTGTGTCTACGCCTTCTGTGGAAGATGTCCAGCCTTTCACGGCCTCCTGGGGTCTTCCCACTTCCAAGGCTGGTAAGGGTTCTGCTCATGTCGCGCCGAAAGAAATGGTGCCTCCCACCTCTGCGAGTGCTACCGCTACTCCTCCCGTATGGTCGACTACTGCTGCAAAGCCTGCGGCGACGAAGAAGACAATGAAGGAGATTCAGGAAGAGGAGGAAAGAAGGAAGAAGATTGCTGTGAAGGAGACTGTTGCTAATATCGCTAGCAGGAGGGCCTATGCTGAAAGTACTTCCAAGGTCAGTCTTCTGAATCAGAAGTAGATTATGAATCTCAATAAACATGTATATGATTTAGCCTTCGCCGATACCTGCACCTGGTGGTAGCGCATGGACGACAGTTGGTTCTAGTGGAAAACAGACTTCCTTGGTGGCGGCTACTACTCCAACCCGTCCTCCACCTACACCCTCAGCTTCTCCCTCTGTGAGTTCTATATCTACGGCGCGTGTGAACGGTGCAACCACTCGATCTACTCCTGCACCTGCTAGTAAGGCACCCACAAGCAACACCAAGGTGGACGATTTTCCCATTGCACCGTCTCCAGATTTTTTGAAGTGGCTTGCTGAATCACTCAAGGGTTTGAACAACTCTGTTAATGGTAACTGAATCTTACAAATTTACGTGGGCTTTTTACCTGGACTGACGTTCCTGCATTAGTCGAAGACATCATGTCCATGCTCCTGTCGTTCCCCATTGATCCTGATCCTTCAACATCCGAAATTATTTCCGACCTCATCTACGCGAATACCACCACCCTCGACGGACGACGGTTCGCTGCGGACTTTTTGAGCAGACGAAAGGCAGACGCTGTGGCTCGAGCCAAGGCAGGTCCTGGAGCAGCAACAGCCAAGACGGTATCAATTGCAGATGTAGTGAAGGCGCAACCTAAGCCTCAGGCGCAATCAGAGTGGGGTGGATTTAAAGTGGTAAATAAGAAGAAGAAGGGTGGTAGGACATAGTTGGCAGGGATTGATCTTGGTGTTGGATATGAATTCAAAGTCGTCGCACCGATGGGGTACATGAGACTGACATAATTTAGTGAATCAGGCAATTACATTTTTTTCGCTTTCTTGAAAATACTTTTCTACATTGATGATTTGATCACATCGAGAGATATAAAGCGAGGAGAGCAAGAAAGAACTCACGGACAGCTGGTGAAAAAGAAATCCGACCTGCCTGGTTCGAACAGGCGACCCCAAGATAAGTTATTATCCAATTACAGTCTTGTGCTCTTCCAACTGAGCTAAGGTCGGTTGGCAAGAAGCAAACAGTACACAATAATATCGCAAGCTAGATTACGTAAGCACGGAAACTTCCAGAATATTTCCGTCTGCGCCATCTAGAAACTTCTCTACTTGTCTCGAAACTTACCGACGCGCGTAGACTACGCGCGTTCATTGTTCCATTACTCATCCGATATTCTGAAAATGTATAAAAGCTATGGGCTTTCCCGCCCTGTATCGTTATCAATATCTTGCAATATTTACAACTACCAAACATGTATCGCTTACACCCTTCATATATCTCATCTCTACCCACTGATCTGGGCTACTCGCGACCTCAATACTCTCGACAACGATACCTCAGTCCTTTCACTGAGCAGCGCAGAGTTATCGAAGCCCAGCACGAGGAAGAAGATCTTCTTCGCCGTTTAGAGGAAATTCAGCTTCAGAAACAACAGGATCGCTTCCTTCGTCGTTCTCCTTATGAAGAGTATTCTCCTTACCATTCTAGCTACCCAGAATATGAGGAACTCGAGCGTGCTGCTGCTTTACGTCGTCGGCAGCGAGAGCTTGAGTGCCTTCGTCGCGAAGAGCAAGAAGAGGAGCGTCTTCTCGCTTTGAAGAGGAGAGAGGAAATACTCAAGCTTCAAAGGCTTCACCGCCTTCGAGAAGAGGAAGAGGCTCGTCTTGCTGCCATTCGCCGTGAAGCTGAGAGAGCCCAAGCTGCTCGACAGATTGGAGCGAAGAAGGTTTGTCTAATCAGCATATGTTCAAATTTCACTTCAAGAGGCTTACGGGATTATTATATTCAGCTTTTGCCCTGTTATCCTCAAGGTAGCTCAGACGACCAGCTTCGTCATCTCTTTGGGCATCAGACTGTTCATCGACCCAGTTCCAACGTTGATTCGGAACCGCAGACCCTCGAACAATTGTTTCCAGACTTCGTTAAACAATTGAACAACAAACAATCTGAGCGCACCTCGACTCCCAAACCTGCTCAGGAAGAACACAAGAAGCGGACTCCCTCACCCGCGGCTCGCGAAGGTGTTCCGTCTCCTCAAACCTTAGAGGAAGTTCTCCGTCTCATGTTTAACTCTCAACCTCAGGTTTCGAGTCCCGAACCTGAGAAGAAGATATCGCCGTCTTCGGAATCAGTCGTCCAGGTATTTCATTTCTATCTACCATACAATGGAGGTACGATACTCACTGCCGCTCTGCAGGAAAAGCCCAAAGCCATAGAGGTCGAGGAGCGATCAGCGTCTATTCCTGATTCTCGTCCAGTTTCTTCTTTGTCATTGAAGGAACAACTCGAATCTCGTCTTAACAATGATCAGTCTAACGAGATCAAGGACACCATCCAAGCCATTCTCGCTTCCCTATCTCATGCACAACCGCCTTCCACTACTGCGTCCGCTAGCAGCAGTAAAGGCAAAGAGAAGGCTGTCAAACCTGAGCACAGCTCCAAGTTCACCGCCGGCGATGCTCACAAGGCTATCGAGTCTATCAGGGGCATCGAGGCCTCCCTCATCGCTATCCAAGACGAATTTGAATTCCCCTCCGAAGTCGACTTCTCCCCTTCCCCTTCCAGGTCTTCATCTCCTGTTCGCGACGATGTCTCCTTCGCATCTGAATCCGATACACCAACTCTCAGAAAGTTGGCATACACTTCCCGTAATCATCCCATTCGATCGTACGAGCAGGCACTCTCGAAGCTGCTTGTCCAACTCGATGAGATTGAGAGCCATGGGAATGCTGATGTGCGGCTTAGTCGAAAGGCCGTTGTAGCTCGTGTCGAAGATGCTTTGGAGGAACTGGAACAGAAGGTGGAGGCTAGATGGAATAAGTGGAACAAGAACCACCATGTTGAAAGGGAGGAAGCGGTGGAAAAGGTTCATGAGAATACCGAAGGGCCTTCACAGGAAAGACAAGTAGCACCTGCTCAGGATGTCGCTGCTACTGTGCCACCTGAGGCTGCTCCCGCTGAAACTCCCTCGGACCTTGTCACTGAACCAGCATCTCCTTTTCCTCCCTCTGCTGTCCCTTCTACTGCTGTCGATGAAGCAGAAGTAGCCTCTCAACTTCCTTCTTACGCGGAGGTCGTGAGACACAATATGCCCCATTCTTCTGTACTCCCCGAATTATCTTCCACTCTCGAGGTCGACACTTCTCCGGCTCTTGAGGTAGCCGAGAACATTACGACTACTTCTGACACTGAAGTCAAAGAACACACAGAAGCAGAACCTGTTGTTCACTACGACGCCGAAGCATTTATCGTCGAACAGACGGAGGATAATGTCACCGGTACCGACGTCCAAGCAATGTCATCATTTACAGAACCCGAAATTCCTACAGCTTCTTATCCTCCTACATCTATTGCTCTCGAAGAAACCTCCTCCCCTAACCCGCCTGTTATCTCTACTTCATCCACTTCATCCCTTGCTACCCTTCGTCCTTCCAACACCCAGACAATTTCCGACGAAGATCTGTCTACGTCCAATAAAGAGTCCCCAGTGTCGGAAGAGGGCCATTCGAGTTTAGGCGAGGGGTATGAGGCTGAGATTGTTGACACATTTTTACTTCCTAATAACATCGTCTCTGATCACGCTCCCAAGCAATCGGAACGCGATTTGGAAGATGTTGGAAGTGATTGGTCGGAGGTCGAGGCATAGGACCTGCTCATAAAATTTTCTTATCTCTCAGTCTGTCAGTCCCGGACTTAATTGCAAAACGTACTGTACAAAAATAGTAAATTGGCAATCAATGTTGTATTGTAGTACATACTCTCATAAGTTATAACAATCATAATGGAAAACTCTTCGAACACGTTTAATCCAAAGTCTTATGTAGCGCTGATCTTGCTGATCACTTTATCCAGCCTTCACCACTTGTGGGGCTTGATTCGACTTCTAGTTGTGTCCTGTGAGATCCTGTTCATCAGAAAGTCATCGTCCACCGTAGCTAGTCGCATTCTCAAAAAGGTTTTCAGTAAGCGTTACAATGGGCTCGCATAGACTGAGAAACATTAAGCTAAAATACAAGTTGAATCAAACTCGGAGAAGCGTGCAGGTAGTTTCGAATGAGCTCCATGCATGGAATATGAGTGAAGGCATCGTGAGTTTTTTGAAAAAATTACTGTGGGCCCATTAGTGTACGTGCAGTTGGTTGGACTCATCTGTCATTTCGGTAAAACTGCAATAACGCCAACTGGGCAAATACTATGAATCTGACACTCTCGCTGCTTGGACGCGTTGTCGTCTTGTGGTAGGTATCGTGTTTGTGAACTCGGAGGCTCGTGGATGGTTGACCTCGTTTATGTGCAGTGCAACAGATTCTTGTGATAGAACAGCTTGAATGTATTTCGAAGTTGACAGTATGAGAAACAAAATGACTCCCAATCCCCAAGCCTAGTGGGCTGGTTCCTCTAAAAGAGATGTGGCGTTTGCGCGAGGCGGTGAAAGACAGAGATCATTCAATAGTTTCCAAGAGAGGGTAAAGCCATTAGACGTACACGAAAGGAATAAATTATCGCTTATACCTACGCCGCGTGTAAAGCACAAGTCACTGAAAAACGAAAGTGAACTGGCCAAATCTACCCCAGTCAATACTGGATGAGATCAAGGGCGAAAATACGGTATCCAAGGTTATTCCATGTTGGGAACGGTGCAGTAAAGACCATTTCTGGAAGAAGGCGATGAAATCTAGCTAGATAAAGGTGTTGTATTTCGTCGAGTCATTAAGAAGGTAGGGACTATTGTTTGATTGTTAGATCACCAAATTAGTGGCGACCAGTCTGGAATGGAGACTGAGGATTTTAGGTCACATTAGTGATATTACACCACTCGACGGTTATAAAAGACTAACCTCTGTAAGGCAGTTTTGGCAAGCCTTATTGAAGCTATCCTCCACTGCTTATACCTTGCCAATCTCCACAGTTCTTGAAATGTTTGCACAATCTTCGCGCTTTCTTTCACTGCGCAACGAGACGCCAGAGAGCAATGGTCGATGGGAGAATGCACCTATCTTTCAAGCTGCCAATGGTAGAGGTGCATCGCGAAATACCTCGAATGTAACATCGGACCTACGAACAATTGCCCGCAAAACGGCAGAATTTGTGTTGGACAGTGATGATGATAAAGAGATTCTTGTCCATTGTAATATGATGGTGAGCATTACTGCTACTTCCGGGCCACTGCACCTAATACTCCATGGTTTTGTTTCCAGGATAAAAACCAAACCATTGAGAATTACACACAGGGTCAGGAAGACCATCCCACCCAGCAGTTCCCATCATTTGGGGACTCGGATGCCATCCTGTCTTGTTGGAAAACAGGTCCCGAGTTTTCCTTTTTTTGTTGCGACCTTCAAGTGGTCCAACCCACCAATTGGGAGGGGGGTTCATCCAGAATCCCGAATCGAGAGCATGATGAGATAGTATCTGCCCGCGTTCAACAGCATCATGTTCAGTGGCCTGTCGGCAACCCACTGATTCCAATCCTGGCCCCAAAGCCAGCACGATGCAAACAAATCAAATTGAAAGAGGTCAGGGAGCTGGAAAAGATCGCAGAGAAGTTGGTAGAAACCATGGAGAAAGACCTGCTCTTCGACACATGAGTTTCTCGGTGTACCTTAATTTTTCTTTTGTACATTTGACTTGACCTTGGATCCACATATATGTATTGAATTATTTTTCGAGAACGACGTATCGAATTGCAGCGCTGGACTTGATACTGGATCGAAGAACAACGTGTAAGCTCAGTGAGGAGATGAGATGAGATAAAAAAGCGTGAGAGTAGCCGCGAGTAATTCTGCAAAGTTCCATTGTTTCCAAAATCGTTACTTTGGTGACCATAGAACATTCGGTTCATTGCTCATCATCATGAGGGAGGGAGAACACCCGAGTCAAAAAAATCTATGGGAAATTTTGACCCATGATCATTCTGTTCTTCAGAATTTGATAACGCGTCGGGCGTTCTTGCCTCGAGCAAATATTACTCGTAGAACTCTCCACTCCGACAATCAAGAATTAGAAT